GAGCTGTGAACTGGGAAAGACGACATCACTCCCAGGTTAATTATTTATACCTGTGTTCCGTGAGTAAGAGACGTTAAAATAAACATTACAAAGAAAAATTCAAATAAACACAGGTATAAAGAAAACATATAAGAATAAACATCCTTTGAGAATTTTGGTGGGAATGTTTATGAAGAGATAAGACGTAACAGTAGCTAGAGTAACAAGGTAACACTGGGCTGATGTAGGTAAGGGGAGTCAGTCAATTATCGAGGGAACAGACGGAAGAAAATCGAATGGAATAATTTACTAAGATAATCGTTGCCGAGTGATCAAGGTTATTATTGTATGTTGTATGTAAATGGAAGTTATCATATGGAGTTGTTATTATTGTTATTGTTATTATTATTGTTGTTGTTGTTGTTGTTGTTGTTGTTGTTGTTGTTGTTGTTGTTGTTGTTGTTGTTGTTGTTGTTGTTGTTGTTGTTGTTGTTGTTGTTGTTGTTGTTGTTGTTGTTGTTGTTGTTGTTGTTGTTGTTGTTGTTGTTGTTGTTGTTGTTGTTGTTGTTGTTGTTGTTGTTGTTGTTGTTGTTGTTGTTGTTGTTGTTGTTGTTGTTGTTGTTGTTGTTGTTGTTGTTGTTGTTGTTGTTGTTGTTGTTGTTGTTGTTGTTGTTGTTGTTGTTGTTGTTGTTGTTGTTGTTGTTGTTGTTGTTGTTGTTGTTGTTGTTGTTGTTGTTGTTGTTGTTGTTGTTGTTGTTGTTGTTGTTGTTGTTGTTGTTGTTGTTGTTGTTGTTGTTGTTGTTGTTGTTGTTGTTGTTGTTGTTGTTGTTGTTGTTGTTGTTGTTGTTGTTGTTGTTGTTGTTGTTGTTGTTGTTGTTGTTGTTGTTGTTGTTGTTGTTGTTGTTGTTGTTGTTGTTGTTGTTGTTGTTGTTGTTGTTGTTGTTTACACCAAATATCTTCGGTTTTGTCAGACATTTTGGTCGATTTCGCTTTATTTGTCCATTTATCTCTGTTTGTTTACAATTATCAACCAAACTTAAGGAAAATAAACAATTAATCAGCTAACAAGGAAGAACTGGTTAAATGTCGTCAAGATATGGATTAAATGTCAAGGTTATTTATTAAAGGCCACAAACAACCCTTAACCACCAAATGATTTACTGTTGTCAGGATGGTGATATTCAACCCTATATAAACAGGATCCGTGTAATAAGAGGATCAGATGCCTTAAAATCAGATTAATAACGTTTATATATTGACCTCAACTCCATCTTTCACTTCACAACAAGATAGACATAAATTTGTTCCCTACTGTAGATGAAATTTACTGTCACAAGGTCGGGAAAAACCAGGTTAGTGAACTTTGAAACAGATGTTGATGAGACAGGCACTGGTAGGGGGCGTGAGGCACTGGGGTGGGGAGGAGGGGGAGTGGGTTACTGACACACCGAGACACTTCAAGAGGGTCGAGTGACAGGTTTTTGTGTGAGAGGCTGAAAGTGACACTACTCTTATTACGGCGTTCCCAACACTGCTGGCTGCGTCTGGTGGTGGGCTGTGCGTTCAAAGGGGTGTCCACGTGGGTAAATCAGTCGAGGGTGTCCGTAGATTGATTTTGATTTTGCGGCTTACAGCGGCTACTTTATTGTGCACCCCACACTCATCCTGTGAGCGGTAGCGCAAAAGGATTACAGAGTAGAGTTTACAAAGGGTCATAATAATTAACCCCCGTTGTCAGGATATTATGGCACTGAATGTTACACAGTATTTCAATTACATTATTTGTTTAGTTCTATACATAAAGGGTAACTTATTCACAAATGCGTATGTACAGGCGTGTGAGGCAGTATGTCTGGCCTCACACTTTGTTATTCACATTTACGTGGGAGGTATTCAAGCACATTGTGTATTTGGTTCTGTACACGAGAACTGATACAGTTACTAAGTGCAAAAAATTTTTACAATCTTAATATATCGGCTATCTTGCCATTAGAGATGAAGTGTTGTGCCATTTCACACACAGTGTGCTTGGACCTGTCCCTAAAAGGTTCTATCTTCACACAGTCGAGGACGTAGTGTTCAAGTGTGTGGCCATATGTATGGCCACACACTTTACATTTAGTCTTGTTTACATCTGCTTGAGGAAAATACTGCCAGAGGTACTTATCCTAACCTTAATCTAGCGGTAACAACATCTTGTAATCTAGTGATCTTGTTACTTGCTCCATATACATGTTTCACTTGACACATTTCATCATGGTAAACTATGGATCGAGTAGTGCCTGTTTGCACTCGTCTACTTGCGTCAAACTCGAGGATGTTTGTGTAGTGTGTCTAGAGAAAACCTGAGGAGAGTGTGTGTGTGTGTGTGTGTGTGTGTAGAGGGGGTGTCCACAGATGGTGTCCCCTCAGACTCAAAGGTTGCATAGTGTACACGAGGATTCGGTTCACAAAGCGGTAGTAATGATCGGTTATCTCATGTGACATTGAGAAGTGCCAAGAATCAGGTGACTTATGAGTACCACCACCTTCTCTTCATTCCTTCCTTCCCTTCATTCCTGCCTTCTCTTCATTCCTTCCTTCCCTTCGTTCCTTCCTTCTCTTCATTCCTTCCTTCCCTTCATTCCTTCCTTCCTTCTCTTCATTCCTCCCTTCCCTTCATTCCTTCCTTCTCTTCATTCCTTCCTTCCCTTCATTCCTTCCTTCTCTTCATTCCTTCCTTCCCTTCATTCCTTCATTCTCTTCATTCCTTCCTTCTCTTCATTCCTTCATTCCCTCCTTCTCTTCATTCCTTCCTTCCTTTCTTCTCTTCATTCCTTCCTTCCTTCCTTTCACAGCGTCATTCTCTCTCTGTTTCAGTTCAATCACGCCATCATTCTTTCTCTCCGTTCATTCACATCGTCAATGTCTCTCTCAGCTCATTCACAGCGTCAATTTCTCTCTGTCTCAGTTCACTCACAGCGTCAACCTCTCTCAGTTCATTCACGCCATCATTCTTTCTCTCACTTCATTCACATCGTCAATGTGTCTTAGTTCATTCACAGCGTCAATCCCTCTCAGTTCATTCACGCCATCATTCCTTCTCTCAGTTCATTCACAGCGTCAATCCCTCTCAGTTTATTCACGCCATCATTCTTTCTCTCAGTTCATTCACAGCGTCAATCCCTCTCAGTTCATTCACGCCACCATTCTTTCTCTCAGTTCATTCACAGCGTCAATCCCTCTCAGTTCATTCACGCCATCATTCTTTCTCTCAGTTCTATCACAAGGTCACCCACTCTTCACCTCCTCCACACTCATTCACAAGTTGTCAGTCCGTGAGTAAGTAATGAGTCGTATTTTACCACAAGATGTCTTCTATTTAATCCCTTCTCTTCAAGACATCTACGTGTGATCTGTGAGGTACTTTTTATACCATTACTACTACAGAATATTAGGTACTTTAAGCAGTGAAGAGTGTAATAGTGATTTAAGTAATATATTTATGTCGTATAAAGTGAATTAGCTTGTTTATTCAGGTCTTGTGTATTGGTTTTATGGTTGTAACCGTTCAGAAGTAATTTATACCTTCCAGTTTGTTTTTTGCTGCTTGACACCCACTCATGTCTCTGCTTTGTACGTATCTCATTTTCTATATTCCTTTATATACCTGATACTTTATCTGTTACTTTATATTTATGGCTGGATAGTGTACGGGGTATTATAGCAACATAAGAACACAAGCACCTGGGTCATTAAGGTGTATTGATGTTGATTTATGGCATAATTATAAATGATTTGCTTACTTTATCTTATGCCACATGTACACAGCGTCATATAAATCAGTATTCCTTATGATTTTTTGTTTAAAGTCTGAGTTAACATGTAAGATCATCTGTCCCGCTAAACCTACCTGTGTACCTATGTTTTTAGTTAATTAACGGTGGTGTGGGCGAGTCCTCAGGTTCTTGGGCACCTATGAGAGTCGACTCGTGACCTTGATGTAGCTACCAACACGCATATAAATACTTCCCCCAGCGAACGTCACTTGTCCCTCAGTAATGTAACTTATTATAACACGTATGATATTGGTCCCGTTCAATCAGTGTTGCCTCACCCCCCCCTCTCTCTCTCTCTCTGTGGTGTGTTGATTATGTTATTCGTGCCGTGAGTATTTTTATCTGGCAGTGTGTTGATGTTGTCTGTGTTGATAAGAGCTGCGTTGTACCTTGTGTTGTTGGGTGAGGCATGTGATAAGATATTTTTTCAGTGAGGTGGAAGAAGTACAGATATTGAAGAGAAATACACCGACACAGTCATACACATATACACGACACATACATACATACATACACACATACACACACGCATAACCCTGTCGGCTGTCAAATCACCATGAGATTAAATAGCTGCTCCTACACCTTTTTTCTCTGGGTTAAAATGAAATACTGTGTACGTTAAGGTTTGTTCACCAATAAGTATTTTAAGGCATAACAAATGTCAATGTTATTTTTGGTTGTTAAGTTGTTATTGTGGGTTGTGGGTGTGGGTGGGGTGTGGGTGGGTGTGGGTTGCGTGGGTGGGGGTTGTGGGCTGGTGTGAGTTGTGTGGGTAGGGGTTGTAGGTGAAGGTGGGTGTGGGTCGGGTGGGTGTGGATTGTGAATGGGTGGGTTGGGTGTGGGTTGTGAGGGTAACTAGAGGTAGATGATCTAACTAGAGAAGGAGGAGGAGGAGTCAGTTGAAGACAAGGAGAGGCGAGAGAAACGGAACAAAATGAGAACGTAGGCAGAGGGGAGTTTCCATACGACTAGCAGAGGAGGAGGAGGAGGAGGAGACGGCGTTAACCAGGCAGTGTGTGTGGGTCAAGTACAAAGCAGGAAGCGAGCAAGCAGCAGGCACAGGCAGAGAGGGTCGGTCATCACCCTCCTTCAGCGTTCCCAGGGGCAGTAGTAGTAGCGTGCGGTACGGTATAAGGTTTGGGGCATCACCTTGCATCAACATCTCAAGGTCACTGCCTGGTTGCCTCAGTCTGGTGTCTGCCGTCCTCGTAAGCACCCGCACACTGCGCCGCGCACGTTCAACTTTTGATTCCCGTGATGTGACTCTGTGTGACGCTACTGTGAAATGTAACACTTGTAGTTGATGATTCAGTGTATATAATACGTTAATGAATACCTTTGAAAACTGAACGATATATATCTACAGGTCGTTTACATTTAGTTCTGGTAGAGATAAGCTGTTCAAAAAGTGTTATTAACGACTGAAAACATGTTAAGTAACAAAGTGAAGTAACATGTGAAGTAACAAAGTGAAGTAACATGTGAAGTACTTAAAAGTAACGTCTAACGCTCGGTGGAGGGTGTGACGAGTGTTATGAGGGAGGTAACGTTGGTCTTCCGCGTTGACAACATTTTAATGGAAGAAACGTTACTTCTGTGTTGTGGGCAGTGACGTCATGCCTCTGGTGTCCCCTAGGTGTGTGGGTGTGTTGCGTGTGTGTTAACGAGCTTCCCTGGTGCCTGGCAGTTCTGTTTGTGGTGTATGTATCGTATTTGTGGTGTGTGCGGCGTGTTTGTGTCGTGTTTGTGGTGTGTGCGTCGAGTTTGTGGTGTGTGTGTCCAGAAAGTCAACTGTGAGGAATTGTTCTCGTAAATGTTTTCTGTCGCTGTACAAGAACTCGTGAGCTTGCATGGCAGTATTTATAAACAGTGTCCACCACATGCACCGAATCCTGTACACATTATGTTTTTGTTTCTCCTTTTACATCATTCAACATTTACTAAGAATAATGACTTGCTGTTCCGTCACACGTAAACATAACTTGTGACGAAGGAGGAGCTTTGTGGTGACGTAGATACTAAAGAATGTTTTTATATTTCATTCTTGATAATCACAAACTAGATTGATAAATATTACAACTATGTTATTGTTAAATGCTAAATACTCCTCTACACTACGTTAGGTTAGGTTAGGTTAGGTTAGTAGCCAGGCAGCCAGTTACTCCTGCCAGACAAACTTGGAGACTCAGGGTCGAGCGAGTCACTGAGTCCAGGAAATGAAAGTCTCTTGATATTTTTCCTTGATTGAGTCACTGCAGTGTGGATGATTTCCTTGGTTGGCTCGCTACAGTGTGGATGATTCCCTTGGTTGAGTCACTACAGTGTGGATGATTCCCTTGGCTGACTCGCTACAGTGTGGAGGATTTCCTTGGCTGACTCGCTACAGTGTGGATGATTCCCTTGGCTGACTCGCTATAGTGTGGATGATTCCCTTGGTTGAATCACTACAGTGTGGATGATTCCCTTGGTTGAATCACTACAGTGTGGATGATTCCCTTGGTTGAATCACTACAGTGTGGATAAAATCACGTCGAAATTCTTCTCCCTTTTAGAATCACAAGTTAATACGAGAGAAGAAACCATCTGGCATAGCTTCCATTATCACATAGGTTGGTGGGCATTGAAACGAACGCCAGGCAGTACTGAACGCTCGTAGAGGCGCTGTATAGTTTGTGTAAGTTGGTCTTCAAGGGATATGCAGACCTGTTTTTATATAGGTGTGGGGGCTGGTGATGGGGAGGGCTGGTGATGGGGAGGGCTGGTGATGGGGACTGGTGATGGGGAGGGCTGGTGATGGGGAGGGCTGGTGATGGGGACTGGTGATGGGGAGGGCTGGTGATGGGAGGGCTGGTGATGGGGACTGGTGATGGGGAGAGCTGGTGATGGGGAGAGCTGGTGATGGGGAGGGCTGGTGTTGGGGAGGACTGGTGATGGGGAGAGCTGGTGGGGGAGGAACTTGTTGTCAAACCCGTTCAGAGAGTTCAGACAGTCAGGCGTTGCTTAACCGGTCGTATGGACAGTGACCTAAAAATAGCGACAGTACTGCTAGTATGGACAGTGACCTAAAAATAGCAACAGTACTGCTAGTATTCTCATCTTTATAAACCTTTAGTAAATAATATAATCAAGTGTTTTTATTGGCGACGGTTCTTCTCAGTAACCTAACCTAACCTAACCTAACCTAACCTGACCAATCCTAAGAATTATAAAACACAAAATCATCAAAACAAAAAAACTCATGAAATACTAAATATTTTGGAACAAGTCATTAAAAATTAATTAATTACTTCCCTAAATTAAGAACAACTGTTTAAATGATTTGTAATATAGGAACGTAATCGATTTTTTTTTCTATGGGAATTACGATTTTTTTGGGGAGGTGGGAGGAGAGGGTTATTAAGTAGAGCTCAATTATGCAACTAAATTTTACTGTTTTTTTTAATGGTGGTCAACTACGCATCTAAATCATACCTGAATGTTTTTTTTTAATAGACACGTTCAACTACGCAACTAAATTCTAGCGATCATAAATAAACACATACCTTACCTTGTTGAGAGTAATTACGAATTGTTGATGTATAAACAGAAGACAAACAGACGTACATACATATATAGTATAAAACTAATATAACCCCCAAAACAGAGGTGTCGCAAGGTCATATTTCTTGTTTGTTTACAATTTATCACAGGGCGTATATCTTGGCCAACTGACACACACACACACACACACACACACACACATGGTCACTTGTCTTATTAGCATCGTCAATACAATTATCATCTACATTACCATATTATTGACTCTCTGGTGTTACAGCTCAGGGAATGCATCTTTGTCTGTCTGTCTGTCTGTCTGTCTGTCTGTCTGTCTTAAGGTTATTGGAAATTGACTGTGGTTTAATTGAGCTCAAATTCGGCTCATTAAGAGATTTTGGTATCGATGTTTTTTTTCCTCGACTACAAGTGATTTTTTTGTTTTATTTATTTATTTGTTTATTTATTTAGTTAATTTATTTTTTATTTATTAATTTATTTATTTATTTATATATTTCGTTTATTTATTGTTTTTTACGTAAATTGGTAAACTACTGTACAGATCTATGGGTAAGCGTGTATGGTGAATAAACTATGTAAATAAAAACTGATCGTCTTACTCAGAAAGTCTTTATTAAAAAAAAATCTAAAACTTGAAAATTCTTGCAAAAATTTACTCAAAAATTTTCAAAATCTTAAATATGAATAAAAAAAAAATCTGACGGCCGCAAGATGTAAATAATAATAAACTTTACTAAGAATACATTGTTATTTACGCATTTACAAGAATTTTGCAATGTTGCGAATTTACATGTCGAAGAAACGGCCAAGTGTGGTGTCAGGGTTGGGGTGTCAGTGTGGTGTCAGGGTAGGGGTGTCAGTGTGGTGTCAGGGTTGTATAGTCAGTGTGGTGTCAGGGTTGTACTGTCAGTGTGGTGTCAGGGTGGTGTCAGGGTTGGGGTGTCAGTGTGGTGTCAGGGTTGGGTGTCAGTGTGGTGTCAGGGTTGTATAGTCAGTGTGGTGTCAGGGTTGTACTGTCAGTGTGGTGTCAGGGTTGTGCTTTCAGTGTGGTGTCAGGGTTGTATTGTGGAGGTAAGTGTAGTATCAAGGTTGTGGTTATATTAAGAGGCAGGTTGGCACGGGGCCCACCAAGTGCTCCCTCATTCGTAATCAATATTTAATCTACGCTACAGTATTGTCTTGGTGCCTGTGTGTGTGTGTGTGTGTGTGTGTGTGTGTGTGTGTGTGTGTGTGTGTGTGTGTGTATATATAGTTTACCTGTGTTTATTGCCGTACATACATTCCTTTAATAACTACATGGGAGTTTATAGTATATTACGCGACACTGAACTAAATAGTAAACAACATAACTCGACCCGGAACCATAATAAGAGGAAAGCAAAGAAAGTAGAAAGACAGAGAGTGAAGAGAGGGGGTGTAGTGAGGGAGAGAAAGAGACAAGCAAGGAAGGGAGAGAGAGGGGAGAGGGGTCAGGAAGGAGAAGGTTAACGAGATAAGTCGCCAGGGTGATAAAGATAAAGTGTTATCTCTTGAGTACCCGACGCTGAGTGACTGAGTGGTCCTGTCATTCAGTGGTCCCTCGCTGGCCAGACGTGTCAAAGGTGTATTAGCACGAAGCGTTGATGGGTGTTATTTTGATTGTCTGACTGACCAACGTATCTCAGCCTGACTCTCCAATGAAAACTCTATCCTTGCTAACTTTGATTTCAAGCCTGACAAGCCTGATGCCCCTTCCCTGACCCCCCTTCAAAGCCCCCTTCCTCAAGCCTACCCCTTCAAGCCCTGACCTTCAAGCCTGACCCCTTCAACCCCTTCAAACCTGACCCCCCTTCAAGCCTGACTGCCTCTGTATATGTTAAACAATCTGGATTTTCCCCAGCCTTAATCACCAAACTTAACCCCCCTCGTCACACTCAGGTTAACATTAAGCTCCAATTCTAACTAAGTCCAAATCCGATTTAATTTTCACAAGTTCATCACCATAATCCTCCCTTTCCCGACCCTTGCTTCATCCTCTCACTCTCTGATTGGCTCTCCCTGGCTCGTTACCTCCGACCTTTTATAGTTTATGATTATTTGGTGATTAAATCTAATTCTAGCAGCCTCCCCCCCCCCTCTGCTCTTGAAATCATCCCAGTTGAATAAGAAATCATTGATAATAAACTCACTTTGATGTGACCGAGTTAGTAGGTCGGGGCAGTGCTTGTGTTTGACGATGACCTAAGTGTCCAACGGAAGGAGGTGTTGAAATTTGGTGCTATTGTTTTTATACAGTACAGGAAGGTTAGCTTTTAATGTCACGGGTTTAAAGAATGAACTCTTGTAAAGTGTGTGTGTGTGTGTGTGTGTGTGTGTGTGTGTGTGTGTGTGTGTGTGTGTGTGTGTGTGTGTGTGTGTGTGTGTGTGTGTCCAACTCCTAACCTAACCTATATATATTCTGTAAACCTCATTCTTCAACCAAATGGCAGCAGCAAACTTGTTCTTGAGTCATATTTAGCTGATGGGCGTCCGTACACACACACACACTGATATACTTACGATTGTGTTGTTATCCAATATGCGTCGTAAGAATATAGACAATGGTGTTTTAATTCTTGTCTTTCATTACGATAGACCAATGCTTGTATGCTTCGATATGTCTATTGGAGTATTCATGGATGTATGGCTATGTATAATATGTTTTTAGATGGCTTAAGGTGTCTTTCAGGAATATTCTACTTGGTCTTTATATT